CTCCTAAGGCAAAAATGTAATTAATTCAGAAAATCATTTCAGGACCCCACCTTGATGTTTCGGGACCCCACTTTGGGTCCCGACCCCAACTTTGGGAAACACTGCAATAAGGAACCTCAACCACTAGATGTTGCTGGATATTACACACTGTTCTTTTAACAGACAGTAAAATAACTTTTCTTTTCAAGAATAGTAAATACAGCCTGATATAAATGGTGTCACAGTGTTTTATCTTGTTCAAAATATGGGTCAGCTGGAAAAATGTTTGGGAACCACAGCTTTAGATGAACTGTGTGGATGTTGGATTGCAGACTGTGAAACAGAGACTGTTTAACTCAGTTTAGTTTTCAGTTTGTCTGTCAGGGAAGGTCCAGGAACACCTGGAGCTGCTCACCTGACCACCTGCTCCTGCTCGCCATAGTTGCTCTCGTAGACCTTCAGCTTCTTCTTCAGTCGGATGATGTCGGTGTCGATGCTCTTGGTGCTGCAGGTGATGCTCTGCCGTTCAGGACTGATCTGTGAGACTTTGGCCACAGATTCCTTTTGGAACAACAGGTTTATTTAAATGTCGACAATCTGAAGAAGTGGAACAGGAAGAAAAACATCCTAAATGTACAGATCTTTAAAAGTTTGTTACCTTTAACTCCTCTTCTTTTTCAGACAGTTCATTTTTCATGGCTTGGATATTGTCCTCATGAGTCTTTAGTTTTTTCTCTAAGATTTTCAGGTTTCTCTCATGTTTCACACACTCTGCCTCCAGTTTCACCTGCTCGTCCTGGTAGTCACAAACATTTTATCAACACTTCTGCAGGCTAAACAGCTTTATCATTTTAACAACCCCGATTATGAACAAGTTGTAACATTAAGTAAAATGGAAATGAACTAATAAATTAATTTGCAGTTAAACACTTATGTTAAAACTTATGGACAGCCGTTTTATTCAAAATACAATAAATAAATAAATAATGAAATAAATAATGTAATTAATAAAGTATTAATAAATATTCCATCAAATACATAAATGTCCCCATGGAAAAAAAAACAAAATTAATATATAGGCCTAATACATTTTAGCATGTCTTTTATTTATTTATTTATTACATATTGTAGTTTTATTTTGTGACACTTTTATTTTGTAAAGCTACTTTACGTATTTCAGGGACTTTTAGTTTGAACTCCCTTTTTATTTCATGTCGTTTTACTATTTCAGGCTGTTTTACCATTTCATGGCGTTTAATTTCATGGTCCAATATGCAAATGAGGGGGCGGAGTTTACTCTGTGGTTTGAGATTCAGGAAATGATCAGTTTCACCACCAGAGGAGGATATTCCCCTGCCTGGCCTTTCATAATGAAACGTTCATTTATATAAATAAAACACAGACATAAGTCCATAAATGAGTTGAATGACTGTCACTCTGTAATTATAAAGGCTTTGCAGAGATACTTGTGGTGGCTTTTGGCCAAATAGCCCTGATTTTATCACTCAGATTAAAAATAGGCATCTTTTTCCAGGTAGGTCAGAGCTTTGTTGGACAAGCCGAATTGTTAAACATCTTTCCAAATGTATGGCGTTCAAGTTTCATGCAGCCAGCACCTTCCTGTCTCAAGCTAGGGCTAAAATGGTCTGTTTCCAAGTAGAGTTCTTTGCAGTGATTGCACATAAACATCCAGTGACTGCAGAGAACTCTACTTGAAAACAGACTATTTTAACCATTACTTGAGACAGGAAGGTGCTGGCTGCATGAAACTTGAACTTCATGTATTTGGAAAGATGGTTAACAATTCGGCTTGCCCAACCTGAAAAAAAAAATCGCTATTTTTAATCTGAGTGATAAAATCTGGGCTATTTGACCAAAAGCCACCATAAGTATCTCTGCAAAGCCTTTATAACCACAGAGTGACAGTCATTCAACTCATTTATGGACTTATGGCTGTGTTTTATCTACAAAAATGAATGTTTAATTATGAAGAAAGGCCAGGCAGGGGAATATCCCCCTCTGGTGGTGAAACAGATCATTTCCTTGATCCCAAACCTCAGCAAGAACTCCGCCCCCTCATTTGCATATTGGACCATGAAATTAAACTCCATGTACCATTTCATGGCGTTTAATTTTATGGTCCAAAAGCAGCCTGAAATAGTAAAACAGCCTGAAATAGTAAAACGGCATGAAATAAAAAGGGAATTCAAAATAAAAACCCTGAAATATGTAAAGTAGCTTTACAAAATAAAAGTGTAATAAAATAAAACTACAATATGTAATAAATA